GACTTCGATCCTAGGAGAAAGTTCATCATAGTAGGTCTTTTTTTTTTGTTATCTTAGGAGAAAGATTCATCACACTAAGATATTTTTATCCTAGGAGAAAATTCATCACACTAGGTTTTCTTATGTTATCTTTGGAGAAAAATTCATCAGACTAAGATTTCGATCCTAGGAGAAAGTTCATCAGACTAGGTCTTTTTGTTATCTTAGGAGAAGGATTCATCAGACTAAGATATTTTTATCATAGGAGAAAATTCATCAGACTAGGTTTTCTTATCTTAGGAGAAAGATTCATCAAACTAAGATTTCGATCCTAGGAGGAAAAATGTGAAGAGCAATGGAAATATTTTATGCACACTAGCAAGACAAATAAAGGCAAAGATTTGAGAAACTTCCCTTTTGTCGGCTCTTCTCTTCTTCTTTTTTTGAAACCCAAATTCCTTGCACTGCTTTGTTCCTGTTTCAAACAAAGAAAATTTTCTCAGTTTTAAAAGTGGTGGTCGGTTTGCGGCCTTGAGTCTTGGGTGGCTTGACTTTGTGATCATCCAACTTTTGGAAGACTGACTGCATTGGTAGTTGGCTGCACTGCTGGGAGACTCTGTTGTTCCTTACAAGGGACCTTTACTTTCTGTATTAACCCTGATTGTTTCGCTCCCAATGCCATTTGTGTTTTATGGCTCAATCAGCCTTATCTCAAAAAAGAGATTTCTTTTCTTTGATAACCTTTTCAAATATCTTGAATGGCTTTTGCTTTTGGAGCAATTTTGTCTCTCAGAGAGAATCACAACTGGTAAGTGTCTTTTGCACAATGTGCCACTTCATAGTCCTTGTTCGGTACTACAGGGAATCCCTGATTAACCTTGAGGTTATCTTTGCTTGCTTTAGCCAAATAGGCTGACAAGAGTCTTTTGGGGGAAACCTTCGTATTGCACGAATCCTCAAGACATGTTGGCTGTAACAACTGAGTGTGCTGGCCAAATTTACTTTGTGCAACTGAAAAGCTGGTAGCAGATTTTGAAATCTTTTCTTGCTTGTTTTGACAAGGACTGACTCAGAGCGAATGACACAATGATGCGAAGAAACAATATTAACAAGAAATACCCCTGTCGGGAAGGAAAGGAGGAAGATNTTGTATGCTTCTCTTGACATTCTTGAAGGCCCATCGGAAGGTCTTTATTTGGAAGGGTTTTGGATAGGGTTGGAAAGATGGGTCAGCATGGAGGATCTAAGTAGACTCAATATGATGGGTTGTACACTTTACAACTCTTGGAATCGACTCTTTCAAAAGTGAAAAAAAAAATCTTTGCCCCAGTTTCAGATATTGGAGATTTTTGGATTTTTTTTTGAATTCTTATTTGGTTGGACCGAACCCTGTAAGGCTGCCTACGTATCCCTTTTAAAGGAATCAGGTCTAACGTAGTTCAAACATCTGACATAATATTGTTTTTTTCATCTTTCTTTCTTTTTCTTTGTCTTTCTCTTCTCTTTTTTTTCATTTATTCCATCTTTCTTCTCTTTTTTTTCAAAATAAGTTGTCCCAGCTTTTATTTTCTGGGGGCATGGACTTTGACTGTTCTTTTCTTATTCTATTTTTTCACTTGAACTTTCTAAGAGTCGCCCCAGTTTGTACTCTTGGGACATGGACTTTTTTTTTCTTTCTTTTTTTTTTCTTTTTTTTTTAGACTTTTAACTCTAAACTTGATTCCAAAAGAGGGTGGTCAAAGAAAATAACACAGGCTCGAAAGGATAACGAAGGGTATAAAGTATTTGGATAGCAGAAAAAGGGCCTCCCAACCTCGAGAATGCCAATCATGTTAGCCTTTCACAATCACGGCATCGATGGACATGTTGCTTTCTCGTCTTTTTCAGTGTAAAGTTGTATGAGTAATAATTTCCTTGCAGTGAATGACCCTTGTCAATTTGGGTGACTTTTCTTCGATTTTGTCTTGATGTAGAAAATGCATTTTGCCAATAAACTGATCCATTTTAAGTTAACTAGGATACACCTTCTTTTGAAAAATACTTTCTATCTCTGAGTGCTAAACATACTTCAACCCGTCCGGTTATCCTTAAGCTCGATCTCCTCAATAATTTAAAAGGTAGAGATCCTTCACTATTATGAGCATGACTGCTTTTGTTCCGTGTAAACTTGGTTCATGCTTATTTTCCAAATATTTCATGTCTCTATTTATCTTCAAAAGTGTCTCTTTCTCAGTTATCCAATTCAAGACTAAATCAGTTTTCTAAGATCTGACCAAAAATTCCGCATGCATGTCATGTCACTAGGACTAGCGTGAAAAGAACTATGCACAAAAATGGACGCAAAATGACTGACTGTTGTTTATTGAATAAAGGATAGCAAAGTCCGATAACACAAAAAGAAGAAGAAAAGAAGACAAAATAAGCTACCATGGCTAAACGAGGAGTGACTTTCCAGTTGCTAAGCGACATCTTAGCCACACATTCGCACATCAGCATTACTAGTATTTACCCGTTTTGATTGCTTTGGATTCAACACTCAAATTTTGACAATCATCCCGAGCAGGCCATATCCTATTGCTCAAATCTGGTAAAGTCAACCCCACATGTGTCTTCATTTTTTAAATTTTTCACCGCAAACTTGCCTATTTGCCTTTCTGTGACCTTGGATCAACAAGAGTTATGTTTATTCCATTGGTTGAGAAGATGCTTTTATTTTCGAAGGATCTTAGATTGTTTTGTAACTCGCCATTGCAAACCAACAAACCGACCACCTTCAACTAGCTTTTATTCCAAAACAATAAGCATGTTAGAATAAACGCTTTTTTTTTCTTCTCTTTTTTTTTCTTTTTTTTTGGTTTCTTTCCTTTCTCTTATTTTCTCTCGATCGAACCTGATGTGAGTTGCCTACGTATCATGTGGGAACATGAATCAGATCGTGCGTAGTTCGGGAAGATCAAGAATAAAGGAAATAAACTAACTATTTTTTTTTCTAATTTCCGAAAGAAAGACTTATAAAGAAGAAAGAAAATATATTACGAAAAATCTCTAAAAAAAAGAAAGAAAATATTTTTGGATTTATGGACTTTCATTTTGAATTTATGAAAGAAATACTTCTAAAGAAAAAAAAAGAAAATATTTTTGAATCTTGAATTTTCTTTTCAATTTTCGAAAGAAGAATGAAAATATTTTTGGATTTATGGACTTTCATTTTGAATTTATGAAAGAAATACTTCTAAAGAAAAAAAAAGAAAATATTTTTGAATCTTGAATTTTCTTTTCAATTTTCGAAAGAAGAATGAAAATATTTTTGGATTTTGAGAAGAAATTAAAAGGAAAATATTTTTGTATTTTTTTTTAAAAAAAATTGGAGGCTAAAAGAATGATTTTCTAAAGAAGGAAGTAAAGGAAAATATTTTTCGATTTTTTTTTGAAAATTGTGGGCCGGAACCGATGGGGTTTTCCTACGTATCTCACACCCGGTGAGAATCAGACCCGTGTAGTTCTGTCATTTTGATGCACAGAAAAATATGATTTGCTTTGAAATGATTTTTGTCTTCTTTTTTTCTTTTTTTCTTTTTTTTTTGAGACTTTGGCAGAGCAACGTATTTTTGAATATCAGGATTATCAAAATCGGGCATTTTTCTATCCTACCTCACTCTTGGTTTTTTTCTCTTACTCAAGAGGCCGGCCAACATACAAGCCAAGCAAATTAATGCACCAGTAGCACGTAAAAAATGCATCAGGATGGTCCTTTTAATTGTGGGTACACCTGTCCTAGACGGACCCAACCCCTATGTTGAGTCTCCTAAGTCAAATGCACGTGATGCAAGCAAACGTACCTACTAGGGATCCGGCATGAGGCTATGTTATTCTAAGTTTAAATCCTGGGTGTATTGTTCTAGACCTGGCTTACTCGAGCGGACAACTCGAGCCGAGGGGGGGTAGCGTACCGAGAATACAGAAGCTTCACCGGCTTTGCAACTTGTCCGAACCTCGTTCTAAAATTAGGATATGACTCTAACAGAAAAGAAGCCACGCGAAGCGCACGCTCCCCAGAAGATTTAGAAGACTCAGAAAGAAGAAGGGTTTCGTAGCAGTTTATATACAGTTCATATAATATCAAAGCGGTAAAAAGCGGCATTTAGCACATTAGGCTCAAACACATAAAAATCAGATAATAGACAAAAATCAAGTATAACAGTTATTCTAAGCTCGAATTCTGAACCCTGAACCAGAGATTCTGGGTTCTTGTCCCCAGCAGAGTCGCCAGAGCTGTCACACCTCCTTTTTTTTGAAGGGAGATAAGGGAGTTTTTTCCAATTAAAGTGACATTAATCAAAATGGGATTATTTATTAAAAACAGAGTCGCCACTTGGAATAAGTTATGGTGTCCCAAGTCACCGGTTTATTTTAAATCCCAAATCGAGGAAATTTGACTCTATTTATGGTCCGCGAACACAGAAGACCGGGTAAGGAATTCTGTTAACCCGGGAGAAGGTGTGAGGCACTCCCGAGTTCCGTGGTTTTAGCACGGTCGCTCAACTATTAATAATTGACCTAATTATCTGATTTATTACATGTTTGAAACCTATTGTGCGTTTTTAACCTTTTAATCATTTTTAATATTTATGGAGATTATTTAAATAAGTCACAATGTCGCACACTTATTATTTTTGTACACATTATGAATCGCGTCACGTGAAAGGCACCCGCGATTTACAACATGTTAATTTTTATTATTATTTGAAGTTGTAAGATCGAGTCACGTGAAACACACATTCGAATTGGGGTTTACGTATCATGACTACGCCAAAGGAACCGTACTCATAGTCACGATAATTTATTTAAACGCGCCTAAAGCAAACTACCAATATTTATGAGTTGGTTAATTTTCTAATACTATTGATATAGCGTGTAACTAAGAGACAAGCCCCAAAGATATGCCCAAATATAATTCTGTTTTATTTAATTATTTTCCCTTCTACACTCTACTAATTCTGTTTTCTCTTTGGTTGTCCTAGTTTGCAATAATGAAGCGGTTGCGACATCCAAATATTGTACTTTTTATGGGTGCTGTCATTCAGCCACCAAATTTGTCCATAGTTACTGAATATTTATCGAGGTCTTAGAAATATTTTCCCGTCCAATTAACAGAAAACATTACGCTATTCCCAATTTAGCTGAGCGATTCCCATGTTATCATGTATTTCAGAGGTAGCTTATATAGACTTCTTCATAGACCTGGTGCGAGAGAGTTGTTAGATGAAAGACGTCGGCTGTGTATGGCTTACGATGTGGTATGGATAAATGTGTCCTACTCCCTCCTCTTTCTCATTTTATTTTTTCAATTGGGGCTAATCTCTTACTATGGTCTTGTGCAGGCAAATGGGATGAATTATCTTCACAAACGCAATCCTCCCATTGTTCACCGAGATTTAAAATCTCCAAATCTGCTAGTGGACAAAAAATATACAGTGAAGGTGAGAGTAAGAATTTCTTTAGCAAACATAAAGGTGCAATCCTTTTTGTCATGATTAATATATTGTCGGACTTGGCTGTCAGAGTAGTCAAATCTGAAGGAAGTATCATTTTGGATAGGGCATATTTTTTTATTAACTTCTTCAGATATTTTCTGGAGGGTCAAGAGAGAAACATAGAGAAGTTTTATAGTTTCACAAGCTTCCTAACCTAATCAAACTTGCTAAAACACATAAAGCAAGTGGTGAACCAGCAAGTATTTATCAGATTTCTCAGATGATGGAGAGTTAACATTGCAATCCCATGAAATGGGTTAATTTCCAACAAGAGAGGATATATGTTGAAGCTTTTATCTAAAGGGAAAAATCACTTGTACATAATTAATAATTTTACATTTTGGAGGGAAGCTTGGTCCAAAATCACTATGAGCACGAATTTATGTCTAGTTAAGACTATGCTTTTTCTACTCATGTTTTTTCTTAACATAACTTGTCCTCCTTTTCGACCTCCTGGTGAATTAGTTTCTTTTTAACTGAAAATATTAGCATAGATGTGTCTCCTCTCACTCCGGGAATATGTGTCTGGTCTTCTTCCTTTTAATCAACTTGGACCATCGAGAAAAATACTAATTTCTTGATCATTCAATTTGACTTTTCAAACCCAACCAAAAAAGATTTTAAAAAAAATATCAAAAGGTCTTGAGGTTTGATTGAGATTTTGCTTGAAAAAGAGGAGGCATTTTGAATGTCTGTGATTTTTAAGGAGGTTCTGTCCTCCATAGCTCAGCAGTATGCATAATGTATTACCTGTACTTTTAGTTAACATTATAATTTATTCTTAAGTTCTGAACAAACTTGGTAGTCCTACTCAAAGTTAGCTAGCGAATATGATTTTGTTGCTTTAATGAATTTATTATTACTTATTTTCGTTTATGGAAGTTTTTATGAAGCTATTATTTCTCTTTATCAGTAAAAGATTCTAAATGTTCTCACTTGTCTAATGTCCTCATCAGGTCTGTGATTTTGGTCTTTCTCGTTTCAAAGCTAATACATTTCTTTCATCAAAGACTGCTGCCGGAACTGTAAGTTCTTGATTCAAGCTCTGGTTCCTTTAGTGTTCTGTTGGTCTTTTGGCTCGTTTCTTGATAACTAAATAAGGAAAAGAATGATTTGGTGCTTAATGTGACAGCCGGANTCCGGAATGGATGGCGCCTGATGTTCTTCGTGATGAACCATCAAATGAGAAATCTGATGTATACAACTTTGGCGTTATTTTATGGGAGTTGGCAACACTACAACAACCATGGAGTAATTTGAGCGCACCACAGGTTTGTGCTTGGTATTTTAGGTGTAAATGGTGATCTAAACAATTGAATAAGGGTGGCAAGTGGGCCGGTCCTCGACCGGACCGGGACCGCGGGCCAAATGGGCTAACGCGCCACGACCGTTTGCGCCGGTCTTAGTGGGCTTGGGCCGGTCCTATGATTTGGGCCCGTCATGCCCGGAACCGTTTAGCCGCTAGGGCCCGGGACCTTAGCGGGCCAAACGGTCCCAACGGCTATTTTTTAATTTTTTTAAAAAAAAAATTAAAAAATTAAAAAATTAAAATATATATAACTTTGAATATCTCTTTACAATATTTTTGTCTTTTTATATATCTTAAGCTATATATATATATATATATATATATATATATTATAACGCATTGCTTTGAATATCTCTTTACAATATTTTTATGTTTTTATGTATCTTAAGCTATACATATAGTATATACTATATATATATATATACATATTACTATATACATAGTATATAAGACATATTCGATTGTATATAAATATATATAGTATATATATCTTAAGATATATGTATAGTATATAAATCAAATATTAATATATAAATCTTAAGATGTATATATAGTAAATCGAATATAGCTTATATATCTTAGGATATACATATAGTATAGTATAGTATATATATATATATATATATATATACATACACCTCTTACTATATACATAGTATATAAGACATATTCGATTGTATATAAATATATATAGTATATATATCTTAAGATATATGTATAGTATATAAATCGAATATTAATATATAAATCTTAAGATGTATATATAGTAAATCGAATAT